CTAGCTTAAAGTACACAAAAGTAGAAAAAAGAATAATGAAGAACAAAACTTGTTTCTGGGTAACTCATGATAAGTGAACTTTGAACATATTTAATTTTCCAACGACATGCCAACAATTTAGGAGGTGGGTCATCTCGCCTCATCCTCTATACATTTATGGTCCATATTCATAAAATCCTGTTATTAGGTGGTCTGTTATCAACAGACCACCTATTGATTTCGTCAGAATTTTCTTTATTTATTATTTATTTTTATTTCTTCCCGTTTTTTGTACCCAGGATAACTCACAGTTTGGTTTGGTCAATTTGATTCAATTTTAGCACAGTCATAGGTCATTGTCATTACCTATGACCTTGAAGATTTTCAAGGTCATCAAGTCATCGTGACGTCATCCAGGCGCCATTTTGTGAAATCACATTATCCATCATATCTTCATGATGCATAAGCAAAGGTCATTCATATTCATATCACATATACTTCAGGTCAAGGGTCAACAGGTAATGTCATCAAAGGTCACATAAAGGTCATTATGCGCGCGTACGTGTGCTTCAAAATTTTAAAAAGCTCAAAATCACTTAACTATTAAACGAGAGTACGAATCAGTTCATTTTAAGCATTTCAAAATTTTCCGTCCGTACATGTCCCCGCGCGCGTTGCGCGCGCTCATGACGCGCGGAAAAAGTCAAATTCAAAATGTTTACATGATTTAGATTCCTCTTAACGTAATTGACAATTTACATTAATTTCAGTCACTCTTCATATTTCATAAGGCCGTGAGCGTGCGTCAAAGTTCAAAATCCGCGCGTACTGCTATGGGCGATATAATGCAAATTTGATCAAAAACATGCCATTTTAAAAATCGAAATAGCTCTTCAGATAGTCCATTGACCCCCAATTTTTATATCATGGTTGGAAAAAGCATGAGTTGTAAATATAATTTCATACCACCCTGACTCGTACAAAGTGAAATAAAGTCATCATATTGGCATCTAAACTCAAACAAATGTATTTTGTTGATGACGTCATTTTTGTCTTTGTTTATTTGAGATTATCTCACTTATCGGTGATCGATCTTCTCCCAGATTTTGATATGTTGTAGCTGAGATAATTCTCTATCAGAAATATGCCATTTATTTTTCATTTAGATGACGTCAGCATAGTTAAATATTCGATTAAAGGCGACAATGCATAATTTGTCATATTTGCGTGTTATGTCTATGGGAGGTTACTTATATCAAAACATGAATCTGCTTGACAATGTGTTTTGACCAGTATCTCGGTTGTTATTCAACAGTTTTCTCCCAAATTTTAGTATGTTGTAGCTGAGACTATTTGCTATCTAAATATTTCCTCATTTTTCCAATCAGATGTCAGGATCACGCTCATGCTCATCATCATCATCATCATCAATGTCACAATCATCATCATAATCATTACTATCAAGATCATCATCATCATGATCATCATTGTGTACATGTCTATATAACTTCTCCCTTTTTCAATATGGTAAATATTACAATATATTATAAGACTTGAAGACAGACCACCTTATTCGTCTTCGTGACGAATTAAATTTCTAGTTATACTTCAATTCATTACATGCTCAACATGATCTGGCATCCGTGGGAATATTATCCCTACTTCATAATACAGGAAGATCGCTCACTCCAAGTCAAACGTTTAGGACATTTTTTTTCTTCTTCATTGTAATGGCAGAAACAAATATATTAAAATCCCTTTGGAATGGAACTCTCTCAACAAACCTCTTATCTGAAATCACTGGTACGCTCGTTGGGATGATGGTTTGTAAACAGAGTTCTGAATACAATGTTTTGTGCACCAATGTGAACATGCAAGTGTGGGAAATTCGGCAGCTGAATTAATGTGAAAATGCAATTCTAATTTGTGGGATTTCGATCACCATTTTTATCCTCCCCTCCATCATATTATATTTTTACGAGAAGATATATATATTCTGGGAATGAGTAAAATACATTTTCATGTAATTGTTGATTGTCGACAGTTTAGATAATCTACGTATAGTTTATCAAAATTAAAGGAAATAAAACACATATTTTTAAGAACTACGATCTTACCTACATTTTCAAATTCAATATCTATCGTATGATAACACTGAATGGTGATCTGAAGTTGTGTTCTTATAGGTGGCACAAAAAGAACTTTTATTTCATCCCCCCCCCCCCCCCCCCCCCAGCCGCGGAAGCTAGTAAGGCTAGGATCCACCACTATTATTTTTAAAGCTCGGAGAACAAAGTAAAAAATAAATGTGAATAATAATCTCAATGCATACTGAAAATTACTGATAAAATAATATATCTAAATGCTAGGCAGAACATGTTTTGACACTATGCATATAATCCTCACTATCTCTTTAACACAAATCTTGAATCCTTGTTTAAACTCACGATTCTTATACAAATGGGAACTGTTAGATAAGGGAATGTATATTTTATTCATGATGTAAACCTAATGTTTTTCACATTAGAAAGATATATCCCCCAAAACTAAATAGCTTAGGTCAAAATCAAGAAACAGTGGTTGATAAGAATTTATCATCTCATTCGATCGCCGACATGACGAAGGATGCACATAATTTTGATACATTAGATGATAGATTAGCTATACCGGTGATTGTTTACCCTGATATTATCGCGGTATTTTCCTTTGAAAATGATTCTACATTATCAAAAATAATATATGAAATGCTAATTCACCTGCCGCTGATACGGAAACATATATTATTGCAGTCAAGTATTATTTCAACATTAATTGAGGACGAAATGCATGATGTAATTTAACATAAAAACCTACTAAATATTAAAGTGAGTATAGGCCTACGTGCATCTCGTTCAGTTTGTCCTGACTAAAAATCCATGAAAATTTTAAAAGGCAACAAAAGTTTTGGTACCGAATCTTTATACTGTTTGTGGGCTTTAAAGTTTGTCTTCGGTGCTTTTGTGTGTTTTCTTTATAATTTTTACTTTGTTTTTGACTTTTATTGAAAGAAGCATATCTGTAGTAATTGAAAGTTAAAATGACAGAGGTGTTATCACTAATCCTTCTGTCACTGACTAATTCAAAAAATATTAATAGATCCTAATAAGAGTAAGCAAATTTCACATGGATTTAGAATAGCCATGCACGGTGAGACTACAGGGGTAGGAATTTTGTTTAAAACTAATAAGGCTCGAGCGACCAGAGTTGACTTATTACCCTAGGCTCATGCAGAGATTGTAAGACTTGAGTCATATCGCCTAACCGACTCAACACCGACTTCAAACGGTCTGTTTCATAAAACTTGTCACCAATAACAAATGCCAAATTTCCATGACAATTTTGCTCTCAGCCAATCAAATGCCATGATGTCAGTAGGTTATAACAGTTTTTGTAAATTATTATTGATATAAAAGTTTTATGAAACCGGGGCCCTGGTGTCTGTCTCTTGGATGTGACTGGGACATGACTGGTATAATATCATTGGGGTTATTCCCCGAGATGACCTTATTCTAATGGCTTGTGCTACTGACGAGTGAACGGAAAATTGAGGGAATAGGCCTGCATTCAACTCTTGGGGATAAATGAACAGGTTAGTGTTAGTGAAAAAGGTAAGGCATGAGAGAGGAAGGGAGATAGGGAGACATACTAGAGACATTCATTCAATAATTGGATGCTCTAAAACAGGGTCATCGACCCCCCCCCCCTTTGGCGGCCAAGTAAAAAAAGGGGGGGGGGGGCGGGGAGAGAAGAAGAAAAAAAAAGAAGAAAAAAAAAGAGTGAAACGGCGCGTTTTTGGAAAATCCTGAATCCGCCACTGGGTCAAACACCCTCCCCCCCCCCCCCCATTTCTTGGCAAAAGCTGGATCCGCCCCTGGGTGAGAGAGAGGAAAAAAAGGGGGAGAGGAACAAAAAGGGGGAGACAAGAAACTGAGAAGTGATATCAGTTCGATTCAATTCAATTCAATTTATTTCGCAATATAAAAAGCAAAGTATACAAGGTAACAGTCAATTCTAACTATATTTACAAAGGTTATATGCGGGGCTTTCCATGAAGGTTGCGAAAACCTTTAAAGTTGGATTGCCCATTACAGAAATACAAAATATTCTAAGCACACAAGAATAAACTAAGTAAAATAAACAAAGTATAGACACTTCAACTATCTAAGACGAGAAAAAGTGAAATAGACAAAAAAAAATATATAAAGGGGGGGGGGGGGGATAAAACAACAATGAAAGGGGGTTCATATATTTAAAAAAAAATCAACAACTGTGATGATTAATAACTATTTAGTAGTTAGATTTTATATTGTTTTCTAAAGGAAGATATGAATTGTGACTTAGTTATTACTTGGGGAATCATATTCCACTGTTTAGGACCAAGATAACTCATTGTTGACTATAGACTAAACAGACCATACATGAAATTTGTTGGAAAATCGGGTATTAATTGAATTTGACTATCATATTAAAAGAGGTTATTTTTATATTTGTACATGAACGTTGGGATTTCTTCCTTATTTATATAATATATATTTTAATAATGAAAGCTTCTTAAATAAAGGTGCGGATGGTGCTAGCGGGGGTGCTAGATAACTGGAGAATTGGTAGCTATTCTTAAAAATTTCTCTTGAACTGTAAATAGTGAGTCTAATTCAGTTTGTGTTGCATTGGTAACCCATACAATATTACAATATTTCAAATAAGGGAAAATAATGGAATGATATAAAGTTATCAAATTTTAACAAACTATATTTTAGCTTATTTATCAAGCCAGTATTTTTACTGATCTTATGTAAAACATGTGAGATATATCAGTAAGCGAGAAATAACAATTAAATGGTAGCATTATAGAAATGTGATAAATTACATTGTCAAAGAAGTGTAAACTGCATGACATATATTATGAAGTGTGTTGTCAATTTTAAAATTTTGAAAATAAAGTACCCACTCCTTTTGTTTATAATGATCAGATTTGTTTATTCATCAATTGGCGTGCCATACAAAACTATGGCGAGCGACAGTGAGAGCGTCCGAGTGACAATGCTCCGAGAAGTTTTACATAAGATAACGGTCATTATTGCTACGAAATGCAACAAAAACGTTTCCTCGATTACCAAAAAGGGTCCTGCAATGGTTCGTCAGAGCACAAGACCAATATACGGAGACATCTGTATCCCTGGGGGAGTAGTAAAAATGTATCTCCCAACTGAACAGGTAATTGTGCATGTGGGACTGATGTAAGTGTAAGTGAAGGCGCCCCGACGCTATGGCGTGGTATATGGTATGGCAGTGGGGGTGGGGCCGGTTACGGCTGTCGCTTAGCCTTAGCTGAAGAATTAACTTTTAGTAAGATGTTATAGATCAGACAAGCAAAACGATGAATGTTTTGTTTGATAAAATAATCAAATCAAACATTACTATTCTATTTACCAGTACTCAGTAGGCCTAATGCCATTTAATAGTAGGGGCGCTGGTCCAAGAATGAGGATCGTCCTTATAAACAAGGATATCCTCATAAACGAGGACAAAATGCGTCCTCAAAAATAAGGGTTGTCTGCATTTTTGAGGACTTTTTTTTTTCATTGGCGCTCTGGGGGTTTCATGTTACAGAACGGCCTGCTGGCGATGCCAAAAATGGATTCCCCGGGGGAAAATAACCCTAGTTCACCGTCTACTTTTATGGGTTGTCCGTCTTCCCAAGGATTTATTGCTTATAATGTGAAAGTCTCTGTACAATGTCAATGTAAAATGCATCAAGAAAATCATTGCAGAATCCGTTTTTTGCATCGCCAATGCACCGATCAAAAATATGAAACGTCTGCAAAAATGCAGACGGTCCTTATTTTTGAGGACGCATCGGTCCGTGTTTACGAAGACGATCCTCGTCTATGAAGACGATCCTTATTCTCGGACCAGCGCCCCTACTGTTTAAAGGTAATACAAAGTTTTGGTATCACTGCACTCTGCCATGGGGGTCATGAATTTGGTTTAAATGAACATATTGGAAGCATATGCGATCCTACAATATTCAGTGATCGTTGTCGCGGTTGAAATCGAGTCTAAAGTTATGAAATTGTAAATAATAAACTCTTTATGTTGTATAGCTCCCTCTCGAGGTCAAGATATTAATTAAGCTATAAAACCATGTTTCTTGACTAAAAATCGACCGATTAGCTAGGGTAGAGTGCCCAGTATTCAGTCACTAATGGGGAAATCACTAATATTTTGAATTCTTACCTCTTTTATTTGGCATCTACCCATCAAAAGAAAAGAAAATTATTCCTCTAACAGGCTTTTATAGTCACTTAAAATAAAGAATGATGATAAGAAAAATATTTCCAAAAGAAGACGGAGCATTTTTCTGCCCAGAATTCGGTCGCGCCGATTAGAATTCGGTCACACGATTTGTGCGTGGTATTTCCGTTGCCAAGGAGTCAATGCGTTGACCGAATACTGGACGAGCGCTACCGCATGGCAAGGGTATTGTATAAATACCTCTTGCACATCGGCAAGTGCGTCATTTGCAAATTCGCTGCGATCGAGCGAACACGGAAGAGCTTCTCTTCACACACATACTAAACTCATTGCGACAGCACACGTAGTTGTTTCGCAATAGACTTCTACATGTGGCTAACAGAACGCGGAAGTGCAGAAAGTTGTACGACACTGACCACTTTCGAGCTAAGTTGGAGATCTTTCAGGGGCCCTATATCTGATTTAATTTTGAGAGTTAAGAAAAGTTGTTCAGCTGCCTGATTTGTGCAAGTTTCGCGGCTCATTAATTATTTTTTTAATTGTTACAGCTGTTGAAACCGCTGTCTGACCGAATACTGGGAATGGACTGAATACTGGGCGCGCTACTCTATTCCCGTTTGGATATTATATATCACAACTACATATTCTGAGATGTTTATGGTCGCAGCTACAATTGTACGGCCGTAGGCGCTATTTGAAATTTATCAAAATTTACTGGGAGCACCGGGCTAAATTTTCTAGTGCTTATCCACAGGGGCATCCAAATATATCAAAATTGTAAAGAATTGCTATCCACCCAATTTCCAAAATATCCCAAAGCTTTCTATTACCTTTAATATGGGTCTATAAACTAGAGAATACACTTCTTACTATGGCTTGCCTGCTGTGGCAGATAACCTGTCCCTTCAAGGATTTTACGGTGTGGAAATAAACCTATATAATCAGCTGACCAGTAGTTAAGTGGAAAAAGCCTTAGATATAAACATGGCATATTTTCAAAAGATTTTCAAATATAAAAAATGATAACTCCCCAGGCCTGTAACTCCCTGTTTAAGTGAATGTGTAGTAAGATCATAGCTGGAGGCATTCTTGTCCTTTTTTGCCAGCCATAGTCTACCCAATATATGACATGTGATGGTCCTGCCCATAGACTAAAAAGTTATGACAGAGATATGACGGTGTCGGAGGCGTCATAACTACTTAGTCAGGATGTTGTCGTTGATCTATACAAAGAGGGCTTCGTGGAACACGTAGCGGACAAGTCAAAAGTTAGACTTATGACGGTTTCGAGAAACAGGCCCCAGAGGTTCTGGAGAGAAAGATGCATAAAAGACATTAGTAAACAGGTGGTCTGCTAAATACCAATTCTTGCCTCATTGATTAATTATACAAAATTAGAGGTGCTACCAGCGTGTTCTTCCAAAATCTAGGTAGAGATATTTGCCTGTTAGTTATTACATTGTCATGAGAGTTTAATAGGTTTAATGGCTTGCATCGATTGGTTACTAAAAGTTTCTGAAAGTATGTACCGGTATATAAAAATTACTTTATTATTATTATTATTTCATATTTTCATTGTCTTGTAAATATTATTATTATCAATGGTGACATGAGTACGTTCTGAGGATGAATATAATAGTGATGATGATGATTTCTGATGATATTGAATTAATGATAATAATAATAATAATAATAATTAAGGCAATGATAATGATGATGATGAAGAATAAGAATAAGGTTAATCTGAATGCAATGCATTGGGCTAAAATTCATTAATTTCCAATCTTTTTTTCTAGCATGTAGAGGAGGTGATTGAGGCAATCATGGCTGCCAGTGAAAGCTTAGACTTTCCAGTCCTTACCTGTTCACCAGCAGAGAATGACTTCATCAGTATCAAACTCCAGAGGGCACCCACCTTTAGCCGGGTTATTAATCACATCATGAAGGAAGGGAATGAGTACGGTCACCAGCGCTCTAGGAGAGATAAAGCTGTGCTGCTCAATGTTCCAGAGATACCAAAGAGGGAGAAGGAGGATGATGGGGTCGGACTGTCTTCCTTGAGGCAACGTCTATTAGCTCAACATGTTTCTGCTCTTCTTGAAGCTAATGGGTAAGCTGATATTTGACATCCATAGAGATAAAGTTATCGTAATCAGAGGCAAGTGAGCTATTATCAGGCCCCTTTTACCAACAAATTGTTTCTCTTCTTGTACATAATAAAAGATAAAGACCAGTTATGGTCATGCGGTTGCATTGTGAAAGAAACGTTGTGGAATCGATCAGAAAAGGTTGATCATATAAGTATTGGTGTGTACTGCAAGGTTCTGGAATCATCAAAATGATAAGAAATTTGGCCCAGTCTTTGTAAAGTTACAAGTACTGTACACAGAAAGATGTATATGGGACTACGCACACGTGCGCGACACGTGTGTTTATCTCTCACAGTCCAATAAATAAACTAATTTACCAAATATATCAATTAGTAGGCGGTTTCCTGGCAAAATTGTTATCATTAGTCAAAACATATTCTTTCACATGATTGGTAATAAGAGCTTCCATTTCATTTTTTGAAATTGGGGCGTTTCCAATACTGGTCTTTACCTTTAATATCATTGTATGAAATGTATTCCTGTTTTGCTGCTGGTAAATAAGTAAACCCAATCAATCAAATCAAAAAATAAATAAATACTGCCATTTAATTTAAATCTGAAATAATTTGCTTTCCAACACTTTTATTATTGATATGCCCTCAAATTTAATGAGTTAAGAATCTAAGTTCATCCCCCAATTTGCAAATTTTGTTATGATCTTTAAAATTGCAACAATGCAATGAGAATAGGCACTGATATCAAATGAGTATGCCTTAATTGCAGGATCATTGATTGGCGAAGGTCGCTTTGATGCAGAAGAGGTGAATTCAAATTGTAAATCAGAGTTTGATTTTTGTTGCATACTGAGGTGTTTAGTAGGCATGTTGAATGCATTCATTTATATGCTTCTCTTTCCACAGCTATCATGTTCATCAAGGTTACAATGTGAATACAGGAAACCCTTCCTCTACAGTCGATAAAATTCTAGGGGATATCATTCCAGAGGGGTCTCTTGGCATCAGCTCTAGGGCAACAACAGAAAGAGATCTGCCTCCTGGATACCTTAAGGAACTCTCAACCTCCAAGTATGTGTCATCTGTTGCCTGCCAGACCGATGAGGAAAGAGATCATCAACAGTCACCTGATCAATGTCATCTGCATTCATCACAGGATGGCTTCCCTAAACAGTGTTCTGTGGATCTGGCTGCTGTGCTGAAACATCAGAAACTGAGGATAGGAAAAGGAGGATATAGCAAGAACATGACAGAAGTGCAATGTAAGTGCAAATGTTATGGTCAGAACTACATTTATGACCATAGTCTTAAGACTTCTTGTTGAGTTGGGGGTAAAAGCCAAGTAAAAAGAGATCGCCCCTGGGAGGGGCTGAGGGTAGAACATAATCCCATAATATTCTTGATGCAGAGTACGAGTATTGCAGATATCTCTGTGTTATATATTCATTCTATTTTTTGAGTGGTAACATCCTTAAAAAGGAAGTGGCAAGTTTGTTTAATAATTGTTTTCGAAAGTGGTTCATGTATAGCGCTCATGTCTGTCAGACTTGACACTCATGGCACTCCACAATTCTGAGTTTAAAATTCACAGGCAAGGAATTATTCACCTAGATTTAGAAATGAGTGATTTAAGGTATCCCAATATAAATAATCTATTCAAAGAGAAAAATGCTTGCATTCCCATCTTGACTGATAACCCCAATTTTTTTTGTCCCTTCTCTGGCAACTTCAAAGCTTTCTGAAAGATTGTTGTTCTTTATTCGGAGCCCATTTCTATTTCACAATAAAAGAAATGTCTTTCATGTCATCAATTACATATCGTCTTTTTGTTTTTAATATGTTATCAGTCATATTGATTCAGTTCTATCTCTCTCTCACTTTATCACCCCCTCTCTCTCTCTCTCTCAGTAACAGACACAAGAGGAGTAGCAAGCCCGGTCCTCAAGCAGTGTGTGAACTTGAAGAATGCAATAGAAGAGATGGTACATTGTAGTTTAAAGGCATTGTTTAACAATATTAAATCTGAGATGCATGACCCTAAGTGTTATCAGTGTCTGTGATAAGGTATAATATTGAAGCCCTTATAAAATAGCGCTTCAAAATGATCATGAAGTGCCTCAAAAAAGTAAAAATCTTTAAGTGACCGGTTTTACCATACTCATTTTCCCCAATAGACTGTAGTATTATAAAAAACGTTATGAAGACAAAAAATGAAACTTTGATATTCAATCATAAAGATCTTGATGATCAAAAAGGCGATTAGCTTGTAAAAAGCTTGCGTTTCCCGACTGACCTAAAGGTTTATAATTATGATTGCAGCATGAGCTAAATCCAGGATTTTGTTTCAGAATCTGAGACAAAGTTACCGAGTCACTTTAACCAGTCATTCATTAATTTTTTATGGTGTATTAAAAATAGACACATACATTGACAAAAAAAAATCATTATAGATTATATTTATAATTAAATTATTGATTTACTGCTAATGTTCAGTCTACTTTTATTTCATCTCATTGTTTTTTTGTAACTTGTGAGTGACTTTGAAATCATGGTCTTGTATTAGTCTCTTTAAAAGTTGACCACCTTTGAATAAATTTTGTTGGATTCAGAAATTTTTAACCAAAAATGTTCAGGCATTTAGGTCGCTTATTACCTTGGTGACATGGCCTAGTATTGGATGGAAAGGGAAAAAATGATTGTATGAAATTTGCTCTATTTCTAAAGTTACAAGGCATGTTAATAACCATTGTTATAATCCTGTCATTTTTTATGTAGTATTATTAATTGCTATTTTATTACTTGTTATAAATTTTTCTGTTTATTAGTGACTACTTTTTAATGTAGGCATAAACGTGAACAATTGAATTGAAGAGCGCAATTTGTATTTTGACTGAACATTGTTATAGATCAAAGAATGCCTAGGAGAGTTTTACTATATCTATAAATACAGACAAATAATATAGAAATCTGAAGCTGTAAACTTTTTATAGCCTGTGGTGCGTTTTTAGAACTTACAAAGGTCGGATGTGTCTCGTAAAACTAAAGTAATAAATGAAAATAAATTGCTTGAACCTATTCAATGCAAAACTTGACCCAGATAAAAGTTTGGCTTATCAAGTTATGATATGTGTTTTGGCCTGATAATTGAGCAGTCAAATATTGTTTAATAGATCATAAAGTTGACTGAATTTACAAGCTAGATATATTACCAATGCAAATAAATTATAAAAGGTGCAAATTAAATCATAACAAGTCAAACTGCAAAGCGAAAAAGGATTTGTTGAGAATTCACTTGATTGACAATATAAAGAGTTGCAATAATAAATATGAAGAATAACTGCTTTAATCGGTATTGTCACAATTGTGTAGAAAGGCAATGAAATCATATACCAAATTTTAGAGTTCATGTAGAGGTGTCATGGTCTAGTGGATGTGTCACCAAACTGTGAATCACATGGTTCATGGTTCAAGTCCCGCCGCAGCACTAATGACCTTTTGCAAGACATTAATCAACATTTGCCACTCTCCACCTAGGTGTAATAAATGGGTGCCTGGTAGGAATTTATTTCTAGAATGCTTTGAATGCCTTGGAAAGCTGGGCAGAAGCCAGGGTAATAATACTTTGTAATCAGATTGCATTTTAAGGAATGAATCTATCTGGAAACCACTTACTTGACCTGGGTTGAGTGTGGCAAGTTTAGATTATTATCTTGCCAAGATTGTCAATAGAGTGGCAGGGACTTGAACCATGTATCTGGTGATACACAGTCCAGTGAATCACCCACTAGATCATAACACCTTTATTGGTGCATCTTAATCCAATTAAGGCTTATAATGCAGGCCTGATAATTTTCCAATTTAATTTATCCTGAATTTATTTCTCCAGATTTTTTTAAATATTTTTTTTAATCATCATTTTTTTCCCTGCAAAAATGGATAGCCTCTGAAATGGATGTAAATCCGGTTTGAAATTAGGGGGTGAGGTGCTGTTTTTTCATAACTTCAAAGCCTCGAGCAAGTGCTCGACACCTCACGTTTTCTAAAACCTTTTTTTTTAAAACTTTCACAAAAACCTTTTTTTGTTTAACTCTCACTATCACCCTGATAATGTTTTGGTCTGTTTAGAAGTCATCTGATAATCTGCATATTCTGCACGCGGTCCCAGCTAGCCAAGAGTTTCTACAGCAGCAGGTAGATCTGACCATGAGGGCACTGTCCCAAGATGGCCATTCCTCTGACCACTCTCATCTCTGCTGCGCACCTGTTCAGCTGACTGGTGGCAAGAGACAGGGGAAGGGGATGGACGTGGAAGAGTTCTATGACATCAGGTATTCACAGATGAGAGAGGCATCAGTGATGAAGTATGGTGATCAAGTGAAAGGTAAATCAGAACCGGGTTTCAGTTGAAATAGTGAAGAAGTAAAGTACAATTTTGATCATAGACATAGGATATAAATGAAGCTGTATTTTGCCCCTTGTATGGGACTTGGTTAACTGACAGTAGAACATTGTGTTGTTATGTTAGCTTGTGAAATCGTGCATTGTATTAATGTATTGGCATGTCAGGGTAGTAATAGGATTTTTTTTATGTGCCTTTCTTTAACATCCTACAGAGTGGATATGTGGGTAAAAACAATGTAGTTCATTATTATTATCGTTACTATCATTGTGAGTAGAAGTACATGTAGTAGTAGCAGCTGCTTAAGTGTGACACATTGGATCTGATTCTGAGTTCAACTCTCTCTCTTTTATCAGGTGATTCTTGGAATGACATGATCCATTCTGTGACTGCTGCAGGAATCAAGTTTGACATCTTGGGAACACACTTCAGACATCCTGTGAGTTATGCTCAATTCACTTTTTTATTTAATAATCAAGCAGTGTGGCTGAAGCCACCATCTGTATAAAGAGACCACAGGTTTGTCTATAAAGAATCCAGTTTTTGTTTAGTTTGAACTATGCTCCTAAATGATTCTTGTACTTCCTCATCATAGAGACCACCTACCTGTACAGACCACTTTTCTTGTCTCCTTGACATGGTTCTTACATACAAGTTTAATTGTGGTAACTTTAGCTTTACCAACTTTGTATCTCCATTACTCTCCTTGCAGGTGAAGCTTGATGTTGGTGAGAGGAACGAGAGCAACCCGTGGCCAGATAACAGGAATGGTGTCTTTGTGATGTACAACTATGCCAGACTCTCCACCCTCTTCACAAGGTTCCAAGAAGAGGTCCATAAAGGTAAGCAGTTGCTACACACATTTTTTAGGAAAGGTGTTCATGGTCCAACAGCATTTGCTCAAGGCTTTATTTCATGAAAAATATTTTGCTGGGGTTAGGGATGCATTTGTATTTAAGATTAAGCTTAGGATTAGGGTTAGGGTCAGGTACAGTGTTGGGGTCCAGGGTCGTAGTGAGGAACTTGATTGGTGTCTGATATTGACTGCGTAACAACTGTCCAAGGACCATGTGTCGTAGGACTAACGTAGTGTAGTGGATATGTTACTCGACTTTAGATGGTAAAGCAGTCATCTAATGGCTATAATGATTTGGTTTAAAATCAATTTGAAGCACTACTGCCCTTTGTTAAGACACTCATCCTCATTCACCAAGTCCCTCAGACAGGACTAAAGCCAAAGGCCTGCTGGTGTTCCAGCTATAATTTTGCAAGTTGTCTGAATTTTTTTTCCCTGACCATAAAGTACTCAGAAACCCATCTGATTACGGCTGAGTGGATCTATTGTTCCTTTCTGAATCATGATATACATTATTATACAACTCACTCCTAGATCCTAATGAAATGATTGGTCATGCGCGGTCACGTGTGATTCATTTACTGAGACTATTGCATGTTTTTTCATGAAAAAGCGTGCAATAGTTTCCAGTACTATTGCACGCTTTTTAGTGCATGTACATGATGCGCAGCAGTGCGCGTAGAGGTTAGAGCACTTATTACTGTGTGTGCATGGGCCTATTCTTGTGCAGCACTATGCGTAAATGGGTATAGAGTAGTGCGCTTACTATATCTTAAGCCTCATTAAACTGGAGATTTATTTGTCAGCCATACTGTCACGAAACAATCTTGAATGAATTCTTTTTACATCAAATAACAAGAATCTAGGACTTTTTGTTGTATAAAAGAAATGACGCATGTTTTTATTTGTTCATTATACGATCTATCCGCCCTCGTTGAGGCTGTGTGTATCTATCGCACTCAGCCTAGCGGCTTCGTGCAATAGATACACACAGCCTCAACTCGAGTGCGGATAGATTGTATAATGAACTCATGCGCATACATCATTTGTGTATTCATGAATCCTTTCCTATCCAGGTACATATCCAGCATTGCCGCCTGTAGAAGACACAGACTTCTCAACCCTGAAAGAGGAAGCAGAGTGGAAGCTGCTCTTTTCTCACATCCTTACTCTACCTGACGTAATATTAGAGTCAGTGGGAGAAAGGGTTACCACTCCTCAAGAGCTGGCGTGCAAGTTTGAAACTCATAAGGTTGGTATGAATGTTGTTTAATGCCAATTGCATTCCGACTCTTAACCTTGTTAGCACTTTAGGTCAATGTGATGTATCATCTGGTTACAGCCAAAAGGGCGTTCAAATGATGGAAGTGATTGCCTTTCTGGCTCTCAGCAGTGAATTCAGTCTTTGAAGAAAAATCACAGTTACTTATAAAATTAGTATATTACAAATTGTATTCCTTTGTTGCAGGGCTTTGCGTTGTCCGAGTATGGTATTGTGCAATTTGGTAATTCAAAAAATATTTAGGCAAAGGGGACATAATTAATCCTGTGAAGTATCGCAAAAATATTAAATTTCTTCCATTATTGTAATTTACACAAAAGAGTCGCATATTTTCTTGTTTCATGTTAGGAACATGTCATGAAAATTTATTTTGATAAGGTGAGGATAACCTCCAAGCTGCATATGGTTATGTAAACAAAAGTGCTGTTTTAAATTTTTTCATTTTCTTAAATATATATTACCTTCTAAAGTAGGTGATATGTGTTTTTAAAATAGATTTCAATAGTTATAAAAGTTTCATTTTAAAGTATCCCTTTTTTTATATTCTTTACTCAGATTTGCCGCTACCTTGTATCACTCAGTCAGGATCTGAGTACATATTACGGCAGATTTCGAATCTTAGTGGTAAGTCAAAATTGATAGAGATCACTGTGACATCTACAATAACTACTGAAGCATTGGCAGTTGAATTATGAAAGGTTTATTCTGTCAATCTAAGTTTTGACAGATAGTAATGCTGCACCACCCAAGGATTTCTTACCAATGCAAGACCTATGTTGGCTTTCAGGCTGCTGATTTCATGAACAATAGTGTAAATCACAGCACTTTGAAATTAAAACTTCCTTGTTGTTCTCCTGGAATATTACCTCTCTTTCATCTCTTTCCATTTCCTTTGCTCTTTCTCCCTTTCTCTCGTCTCTTCCTAATCCTCCTCTGTTATTTCCCCCTTCCACCTCCCCCCTCTTCCATCTACCTTTCTATATCTCTTCTCTTTTTGTCTCCCCCTCTCTATGCTCGTCTCTCCCTCCCCTTACTTGACCCAGGTGAGGTAAATGGGTACCTGGCAGGAATTAATTCCTTGAAATTCTTGAGCGCTGTATTAAATGGCAGCTAGGCTAAAGCTGGGGTAATAATAAATGTGCCTCGGAATAGAATTTCTAGATAGACGGCGCTACAGAAATGCCTATTGTTATTATTTATTTATTTTATTGATTCTCCCCTCCCTCCCTCTACTACCCTCTTGGGTTCTTTCTCTGTACAGGAACCCAGACCTCATCTCCTGCCCACCATGTTTGCCAGGATCTACTTGTTAAAAGCAGTCCATCAGGTTCTCGGCAACGGTCTAGCCCTCCTGAAGATTACTCCGCTTACCCAGATGTGATCTGTCACTGACTGAGACCTACTACTCCAAAGACTGTTCTTGGACTGTTTATGTTAACTCCAAGTAGAGACAAATCTCAGAATCATAGATGTGTCCTGGAACTACCTCATCCCAAGTCACATTGCGACATAAACTCCGTACCGACTCTAATGTCTGCATTGTTATGTGGATATTGTCAGAGATGAGATGGTATTTACTACAAGGATAAATTCTGCAAGTGTGATATTTACCTAAGCAATCTTTAAAAGGGCTCATGGCAAGTGCCTAGTGCAGAGTATCCTTCTTTTGGCCTTATCGCCCTTTAACAGTCTTTACATAGGCCTACATATACAATTAAAGTAGTCCATCAGATTCTCAGCAATGATCTAGCCCTCCTGAAAATCTCACAACATACCCAGATGTGATCTGTCATTGACAGATAACCTACATCTAAACAGAATTTTTATGCCTCATCTACAAAGTATCCGGAGGCATTATGTTTCTGGTTGTCCGTCCATCCGTCCATCCTGTTCTCGTGATCGCGTTATCTCAAGAACCGAATCATGGACTATCGCCAAACTTGAATCATGTATGTTTCTTGCAGAGCTAATGAAGTGATTAGATTTTGGGGTCACAAGGTCAAATGTCAAAGGTTACAGGGCTCATTATGTATGAAAAAATAGCTCATGATCGTGTTATCTCAAGAACTGATTGATTTGATTCCTGCCAAACTTGGGTCATGTATGTATCTTGTAGAGCCAATGAACTGATTAGATTTTGGGGTCACAAAGTCAAAGGGCTCATTAGTCATTATGTATGCACAAATAGCTTGTGATCGCATTATCATGAGAACCTAAAGACAGATTACTATCGAACTCAAGACATGTATATGTATCTTGCAGAGTCAATGAACTGATTAAATTTTAGGGTCATCAGGTCAAAGGTAATGATGCTCATTAAGGATGCCTATAAATAGCTTTTGAATGCATTATTAAAGACGACAGATGGATTACAATCAAACTAGAATTTTTAAAAATTGCTCTATGGCGGGGGCATCATTTTCGACTGTGTGCAGTCGAAGTTCCATCTAGTTAATGATATTTCTGTCCATCCAACCAACAGTTGAGTCTCTGAATCATAGATATGTCTTGGAACTACTTTAACCTAAGTCACACTGCCAATCAAACTCCATACCTACTCCAAACCGACCAGTTCAGTGTAGTGAAATGTTTTTATTCAATCTGCTGTTGATATGGTGTCTGCCTCATTGGTTTGACTGGGGTCTTATAGACAGAAAGGTGGATAATGTGCAATGATAAAAACACATGGGACCACTCACCAGGCTCTCCATGAAGCTAGTGATATTTTAGGGACATCTTTTGACGAGGATTGCTATTTCTTTTTCAAATAATCTGATGCCCTGGCTCAACAGTTTACATGTGACTTGGATCATGATATGTTTTTTTTAATGCTGTTTGGGAAAACTTCCTAATAAAATGCTCATACAGCAAATTTTTAAAATTAATATTAAACATCTGAAAGCTGCAATTTTTTAAAGGAATGCATTAATTTAGGCAATAGAGGGCGTTTCAGCTTCAGAAGTGATTTCCTCTGAATTAGGTCTTCTAAAATAAAGCACAACATTATTTGTTCTGTCAACCTGCAGAATTGTATGTGTGTTATTCATCTGCCAAATGTATGGGAAGGCCAAAAATGAAAGATCTATTATTCAGTGTAAAGGCAAAGGCAGTTTTATGAATATATAACTGACTTATGATTGGAAGTCAGCTTTCCATCTGTTTTTAATCCAATAGCAATCAGAAATGTGTGTACATTATTCATTTTCACAATGTACAAATGTGTAAGATATATATATTCATAATAAAATATCAAGAATTTATACCTTCAGTGTTCTTGTATTCCATAGTTCTTGTGTATATATTTTAACACACAGCAGACTAATAAACTTTGTAGGGTTGGGTTAATGTTGAGTTCAACAAATTTCAGGCAGGCAATGAGCCTTTGGAATTAATGACATCTGAGAGTAGGATAGTTTGAAGGTGCCATAAACAGGAGACACACATATTTTTCTAGTCTGTTGTGTTTGTCTTGTATATATCTCTTTTTCTGTTTACCTGTGATCAAATTTTTTAGAAGGTCAAGTTGATTACTTAATTGGATATATATATATATATATATATATATATATATATATATATATTTCCACGTAACCAAACATTACCACATCACTACAAAGAAAAGGGCACCAGGAGGATCGTATATCTTTGATGATTTTATAATTTTTCTTTAATTTTCATGATGGAGGTTCTACTTTAATGCAGTAGTGACCAAACAAACAAAGCAATTTACCTCTTTATGCTCATTCATGATTATATATGCTTTTACACATCATCTCGACAACTAAAAAGTAAGATATCAAAGGGATTAAACAAACACACTATTCCTTGAGATCCCGATACGTCAGGAATGGTGAATTAATATTACCCACCAAAATGAGATAATTAATGCATATATTCATCTTATTCCAATGACCACAAAAAGGTTAGCTCGGATGGCACAAATGAACCAAGAATCACAAAATCTTTTTCAAAATGGAAGTGCTACTCGTTAGGAGATCGTCACTATATCAGTACAGTTAATGAAGTCAAGATTTTCAATAAAAAAAGAGAATTGTGATCACGTTGGGATTTCAGGCAACGCTCTTTAAAATTGAACACCAAATAAAGAATAAAATCCAAATGGATCAAATTAAGAGCTGCTCATATTCAGGAAAAAAATCATGGCCATACTGATTAAAAACAAAATTATGATTCACAATTCTGCCATGTGAACTCGTTCGTGTGCCGGAATCCTAGGTTAGATATATGTTTCCCCTTTACTTTTCCTACTCTTTCTCTGCGCCCAAATAACCCCAAATCCCGTACTATTCATCATCAGCCCATTTTATTCATGCCTTTGATATTTTAGCCTTGATACGATATGGTATAGTTTGTAGGGGTGGTGGAATCTTCTTCAGAGGGTGAGGTGGTCTCAGCATGATCTGGGGTGGTTTGCCCAAACTAGTTGGCTTCTTCATTTTATGTATCTGCTTTGCCTTTTGCATCATTTTGGAATTGTGCTCTTCGTACTGCTTGGGCAACTCAAACATGGAAAAAGAAAAAGCATTTGTCAGTCGTACGTGGAAATTCTGACGAAGAAATTCAACCTGTCTTTTGTGCTGCTGCAATATTTTGTTGACTGAATCAGGCATGCTCTCTGTGGTGCCACGCATACGACTTGACGAATGATTGGCCAAAGATGTCCCAGAACGGTAGACGCTGCGTGAGGGTTGCACCGAGCCTTCCATCAAGACATGCGAGGAAACCTTTGAAGCTGCAATAGTGACGTCATCGCAGCTTACTGGCAACGTGGATACTTGAACAATGCTTGACTCCTTTGTGAAAAGGATGGGTTCAGGTGACTTTCTTTGCTCACCGGAGAAAGTTTGCGCCACTGGTGTTAATTCTGGAGGTGGTGATGATGTGCTCCCTAAATGGCTAGGTAAAGTAGAATGTGTGAATCGGTAGGTTGGTTCTTTATCTGAGAGCAGTGGAGGCTGCGGCAATAGTGGCGGGGAAATTGGAGGATCTACGGTCAGTTTGAATTCCGAGTATTTCCTAAGAGCGTCTGCAGGAGGTTGGCTTTGATGGTTGACATCATTTGCCTGATTCGATTCAACTTCCGGACCGAAATCTTCAGATGTTGATGCACTTGCTCGTCCATTCTCAGAAGCACCTGTCACTTCGATCGCCTTTTCTAATTTCCTCTCTCTTGGTGTGCTTTCCATCGGGGGAAGTGCATATGCTCGGTCTGAGGGTCCCGGTTCAGGCAAGCCGATGGACAAGCTGCTTGATCCTTGTGCTGATGATGTGTCTTGAGCCTTAGAATTCGCTTCCCTTTCTCCCTGGCTGATAGGTGGAAGACCTGGCTTCTTTGGCAAGCTAGGCAGCTTTGTTTCTGCATTAAATACTTCTGATGTGTCTTTAACATTAGTACTTGCCGTCTCTTGCGAGTCCAACTGTCTTGATTTTTTTCTGTTTGCTAGTTTATTGGTAATATTTTCATTTGGCGTTGCAAATACATGTTTCTTGAACTGACCAGCTTTTGTGTCAGGGCGTCCTGCGACATTTCGTACAGCGGTATTCTTCACGATGGGCTTGCCTTTAATGTCTCGCTCATTATCGTATTTCATGTCAACTGCAACTTGTCCATCAGCTTTCTTGAAAGATGTGGATTTTGAATCATTATTTATTCCAAGATATTTCACATCTCTGTTATTCCTCGAACCGGCACTCTTACGCGACTGTTTTTCTTGACTGTCTGCAGTTGTAGCAAATTCTTCAAGTTTTGAAGAATGGCCTGAGTGACTTGTTTGTCTAGGCAGCTTTGGTATATTCTCCACATCCTTAGAAGGTTCATTAGCACTCTTTTCTCTGTAGATCACTGTTCCATCTTGATGATGGCTTGTGAGTGATATCCCTGACGAGATACGTGTTTCCTTCACTGGCGATTTAGCTCCGTGGTCCCGCTCCCTGTTTCCACTGGGATCTGCTGTATTCTCTACTTCCACAACATTTTGCTCAATTAATTCATCACTTAAAGGGAGATCCGGGGGGAGATCACGCCCATCGTTTTCGAAATTATCAGATGAATTTACTTCGCCATCCTGTACCGAAAAGCTCCCTGGCAGTGGTATTGTCAAATGAGACGACTGCGTCACGGCACTGCTCACAACATCACCCTCGTGATCAGAAGAGACTTGAAAACATTTTGCTTGTATCGACTTTCCTGAAGGAGTGTGAGAAGATTTATTGCTCTTTGCTCTCACTTTTGTAGGTTTCCGTGTAATGTTGAAAGGCACAAGCTCTATCTCACCATTGTAACCAACTACGTATCCTTGGTATTTTTCATTTATTAATACCATTTGGCGATATCCAGATTTGTCTATGCGAACCGTTGGTATGAATTCTCCATTATTTTCTATGTATCCTTCATACTTGAAGCCATCGTCACCTATATGGATTGTGGTTACTGCCTTGTCAACAGTATTAGAGCCAGATATCAGGTTAACCTCATTATCTGTCCCAGGAAACCTTACAAAATTGATGTGGCCGTTCCTCCCAGAAAAGATGTACTGACCATTTCTGCTCTGTGTAACTGCCTTCCTATTTCCAAGGTCATCGAGATAGAACATTGGTACAAATCTTCCATCAATAGTATGCAGGCCCTCGAAAGTGTACCCGTTGAGTTCACGTGTAACAAAATTATTTCTGTTCTTATTTGTGTGACCTATTTCGTCTTCATCTGCATATAGACTCTGACCATCTTTATCAATAGTATAATACTTCCCACTAGAATCTTTAAGTACAGGATATCGACACCCTTGTTCATCGAGGCGGAATACAGGTACGAAGTGACCAGATTGACAGCAACCATGGTATATTGATCCATCAAGTTTCCGTTTGTAGGTCATGTGATGACATTTGTGGGATGATCTCCTTGGCAGAGGAGGAGCAATTCCACCTGTTTCCGCCCAATGATCTACTTGTGTAATGTTGTCAAAGGTAGGGATATCAAGCTGAGTGGCAGATAGGAAAACACTGGAATCAACGAGTGTGCTTGACGACGCATTGGAGAGCGTCCTTGATTGAGACTGACTTTGACCCAGAAATTTGCATCCGGTACACGTTGCATTTCTGTGACGATGATCTGATTTACCTTGTAGCTGCACACATTTCATGCTTCCGTCGCCACTCACAACGGTGTATTCTCCCTCAGCATTCATAACCACTGGTCTCCTGGAGCCGTCTGGATCAATCCGAGCGGTTGGTATGAATCCAAATTTTGGTGACTTGAAGCCTTGGTATTTGAAACCATCATGGCTTTCCACTTCAGTAATGCTCGTATTTGTAGATGTCTTGTGAATAGTTTGACTATGGGACAAAACAGCCGGGTGACTTATGTTGGTTTCATCTAGCGCTTCAAGTCGCAAATCTGAAAAATCCACAATCTCGTCACAATGTATACCATCGTTGTTGAGGCTCTCTACATAGAACTTGCCGTCTGTCTTCAACATAACTGGATGCTCTACCCCAGTAGCATCGATCCGCGCTACAGGCACAAACTGTCCGCTTAGATTCTTGTAACCTCGAACAATTGCCCCGGTCCTATCTCTGAACTCGATGATACCTCTATCAATGTTAGATATTCCTTGAGTTTCCTCAGCATCGTCAGGTGAAATATCCAAAGCCTGGGAGCCATACCTACTAACGATGCAAATGCCCCCGTCTAGTTTCATGGATATGGGCAGTCTGTTGCCAGTCTTATTAACCCGGGCAATAGGAATAAAGTTGCCAGCATCCGACATGAATCCATGATATCTAGTGCCGTCGATGTCTTCAAACTCGACAATGGATTGACCTGTGGCAGATGTTTCACCGCTGGGAATCCTTTGGTGTGCTTCTGGCTTATTCGGAATTCTTTCAATTAGACCTAAAAAGCAAAGATGGACAAGGTCACCATAATGCATCAGCAAGACATGACCAATGCTCGTTAAATTCAATTTTATCATTTTTAATGACATCCTTTTTTGTGGGGGGTATATCTGTTCAGACATCTGTGGTCTCTTCAAATCATAGTTGACTGGCTTCATAAACATACCTCATATAAAAGTGATTATAATAATAGTACTCATTGGACTTTGCAAGAGTACAATTTACACTTACCAGTGTTATCAGAAGGTTCATTACCGATCGTCATTTGTGTGTTGCCTAAGTTACTCTGTGAACTGTTGTGAACCTGTGCATGCTCTTCTGATGGTTCTCTCACTCTGCACGTGATTTTCTCTCCTTTGTCAATAGTTCCATCAACGTCTTTCTCCTTCTGATGTTTGACCTCTTTCGTCATAAAATTATGCTCCTCCAAGGATAAGGTCAAGGTGGGATCCTGTTTACTTTGGTGATGTGTTGTATTATCACGGACATCAGGGACAGCAGATTTCACTCCAGCACTTGTTGCCCCTTTCCTCGTTTTTGGACTTCCTGAAGAATAAAATGTCATTGATACTGTTGAAAATAACACGATAGTAATGAATTTCGAGAATGGCAACAAGAAAAAATTAAGTACACACTAAAATATCAGATAAGCCTAAGCATTTTGTAAAATTCACCTTTCATTAACCAATTACACGATTGTTTATGGTGTCACTTTAAAACTTTTTTAAAATTCAATATGAGCATTGTATTGGGGGCACTTACCGCTCTTGCGATTGGCGCTACGGGTCCTTTGCTGCTTATTAGGTAGTCCACTTGCCCGATTGACTTTCTCTATAGGACTTGGCGAGTTTCTGTCCTTAGATATCCTGATCGCGCTTCTCTTCTCTGGAGAGCGTGATCGTCTAGAGGAATGAGGAGATGTCGATGGTTCCTGTAGGAAACCACTACTCACAGAATTGACCAGCTCAAGGAGTTCTTCGTCGGCACCAAGCAAACTGGTACGGGAGAGCACCTTGATCAGTTGTTGCCTGCTATACTCTGGAAGTTTCTCCAACTCCTGCACGTTACAGATATTTTGAATGAAGATGAATAGCACGCTTAAGAAATCAGAGAACGAGCTGGTCATAGGGAGCATGGACAATATTTTAGGAAGAGGGTGGTAATATAATTAGGTTTCAACCCTCTCATGCCATTGCACCAACTGTGTGATACTACTAGGATAAGGCCATTGTAGTGTTGTGTGAGATGTTAGGCAATCATGATATAGCTATAAAGACGACTTTTACAATCGACAATCGTCTTTCCCTAAATCTTGTAAAAATATCAGTATCTACATTACGAGACACGAGTTGGCACATTACGGCCCGGTCTTACGAAGTTGCGATTGATCCAGATTGACCGCGAATCCTCCAATCAGTTCTAAACTTTGCAACTCCTTTTTCTTTAGTATCGAGCTGTGATTGGTGTCAAGTTGCGATCAGTTTGAATCGGTCACAACTGCTTCTAACACGGGGCCCAGTGGGGCGTTTCAAAAAAGTTGTCATCAGTGACAAATGACAGTTTTTTTATAAGATACTGACATTCTTGCGTCTGATTGGTTATCAGCAGATTTGTCACTGATTTTTATCATTTGTCATTAATAAAAGGCTTTGTGAAACGCCCCCAGGAGTGCTACTGTATAGTTTCATCTATGTCCATACTTTCATGATCCGGTGACTCTGCAGGCTGATGTTATATTTTGGTCCCCTAGTAGGTTGGTGGGGTTCCTTACACTCCGATGGTGATGTCGGCATACCAGAGAGCTTCCAATGTTTCAGGCAGCGTGGACAATGGAATACTATCTGGGCTGTTGTACCATGTACGAAATCGGCAGGCTTTGTTTCCTGGACAATATTTGAGAAGAATGAGAAGAAACAATTTATCATCTTTAATTCTTTTAAAATGTAATAAACTTTTATCATATCCGTGATTTCATTTTATCGAGTTTGAGGGTTCTTATCTAAATGAATACACCTGCACATTATACAGGACTGAAAATTACCAGAAAGAGAGGTAGGACCAGTATTTCTTCGGACTATGTATTCTTTATTTCAAACGTTCATTGGGGAGGGGGAGGGGGCTACCGGCTACCCGTTCCGTCCACTCACAGATGAGATCCGCCTGTAAACTAACTTAAAACTTGAGGAACTACTTCTGAAAACGACTGCACCAGTTAAACTATTTATCTCCCAGTCCCAACCCATTTCATCATCTAATTATGTAAATTTCGTCGTATACACTTACAATTTTGAGGCCCATCGATTGGCAGAGGAGAAGGGGTTTCAGATCTTCCTCTAAGGACGTGATACGGCCAGACATCTTTCGTCCTTCGATTAGGAAGGAAGTTGATGGTGTGTCGAGACAGCCTTTCTGTTCCAACACGTCATTGGTTTAGAACAACAAAAATGTAAATAAACCCAACATCATTGGATAACAAGACAAATCAAGGACACACAACTCAACAAAAAACTGATGTATCTATAATTATGTCAATATTCATATTTCATAAGTTCGTGTTCATAACCTGCGTGCCTAATGACTTTCACCGCAGAAAAACATGTATAAGTAGTTATCATCATTATATATTTTGTTTTGTTCATGTCATAATCCCCTTTATTGTCTGCATTTCCGTGATTGTTGTAATCAATTTTTCTAAGAAATTCTGAAGGAACTTGCATTAAGATGAATGTATAGAATAAAGCACATTGAATTATTCATGATTAAGGATTTTCTAAAATCAAAAGAGTATGTTAAGCTTTCCAGGCTACTTTTCGGGACTAATCGTGCATCTGTCGTATGCAGATCGCGCCCCGTATTATGATCCAGTTTGGCGTCTTTGATAAAACGGTTTGCGATGCCCATATTTCAATCTTGCCCTGGGATTCCAGTCGTCCATGTTCCATATCGATTCTTTATTCAGGCCTACTCTTGGAATTATTTTTATTCGCACTTTTCTCCTAACGTTTCTAACCATCCAGTTTTACCAATTCTACCAAACACAAATCTTAGAACCTGTTTAAACTGACCTCTGCCTTTCTACGACCATCCAGAGAAACCCCCATCCGGATGGGTTTGGCAGTATTAGCTGGTTTCCCTATCAACATCATGCCCTGGGAAGTCAGAGGTTCTCCAATCGGCTCACAAGGTTGTGCCGAAACAGCTCCCAGCTGCATGAACATAAAATACAATTATATATTTTTTTATTGGCTTTTGATCTTTTTTCTGAATGAAGTGTTGGTGAAATGAAGTTAGTGATTACATCCTAAATATACACACTTGTTACATTCATCCTTAAATGGGCTTTTAAGACTTATATAATCATATCCAGTCTACATATATGCCTGAATATTCACGTTACATACTGTTATTTAGCCTATTACCTTCCAAATTCAACGGAAAGCCTTTCAAAACAATCTATAAAGATTCATTAGCCCTCTAATTTTGACAAAGTGATTACCCGCTACTCCGAATGTCAAACGCAACTTCACTTTGAACGAGTCAGAATCGCATATAATATGAATGAATTGCCTTCAATGACGATTTTTTGATACAGTATCCTGAACATACTTTAAATTGTCCTTGATCCGGCACATGCTATTAAATGCGACATTTGCCTACATCAAGGATGAATGATAAGCCTAAGTTTAGGATTGCGATTGGGGTTATTTAGGTGTATGGTTAGGGTAAAGGTTAGGTTTAGTGTTCTTTTTTGAAGGTGGAAATTTGGATTGTGTCAGAAATTGAGCGCGGAGTAATATTGTCTCTGGAGCATGAGTTGTAGAACCATTAGTGAAGCCTCTACGTTATACTACGATCTGACTACGATGCGATTTTGGAAGAGTTTGAAATAGAACGTGATAAGAACTTTCTAACTTTAAAATCTTAATGACCGAGGATCTGAATAGATTATTAATGGAATCTCAATCTCAAGGGATTTCAAGCTTCCTTGAAGAAGGAGGAGCTCAATCAGCTCAGAATCGTATCGATGTCAGACAAGTAGTACGATTGTCTACGATTTCAAGCCGATGCAGCTTTCATTTTAACTAAAAAGCATGAATCCACTCAAAATTCCGAGTGTTAGTTTTCTCATAAATAAACATAACTCAGGTAGATGACGTTTGTTTGCTTAGATTTCCATATCTAATATTTAAATATGAATGCAATTTCTTCGAAAATCAGATTGCAGGAGGGTCGTGCATTGTGGACGGGGCATTATATTAATTTTACCCTAGAAGGAATCCTTGCACGGGGCAACGGAGGGATTGGTGTTTCGCAATGTAAAGATGAGAAAGCAGTCCCACTATCAAACACATTAATGTCGTCGTCATCATCATCATCGCCATCATCTGTCTCGAGGGTCGGGGGTTGAGCGGTCTTCGTATGAGCAGCAGTTTGCACCGTCATGTCTTCTGCGGTGACGAACGGTTTATCGTGGTAGTTATCAACACCCTCGTTGTTGAGATCGACGCTTTCACCGAGACGATGTGTGGCTCTCTTCAGACCCTGAACGAAACGTGAGAAAAGATAAATGTATTTAAACGTTTTGCAGACGAGAAAATGCTTCAAGGGCAAGATGTATGAAAGGATTGTGTTTCCGGACGCTGAACAAAATTAATATAAAGTTATCACTTTTGTCTTTGGATTGAACGAAAAATTTAATTTAGTATCCCCCCCCCCCCCAAAAAAAAAAAAAAAATCACTAACCGTCATTAAGGATTGTTCTTAAAATATTAGTGAAATATTGGATGATAAACTCCTTCAAACCACTGTTTGAATCAACGGTCCGGACAAACAACCTGTCCGGACACATGACGTTTTGGTGCGAGGGTGGCACAGAGTCGGTGGGTGATGAGGTGAAATAAAAAGGGAGAAAGAGAATGTGAGACGAGGTAGAGAGAATGATATAGAGATGAATAGAGTACGAAGCATTATGATGGATGGGGGTTGTGTTTTTTATAGTTGTCTTTGAATTTGACGAAAAAAGTATGCCTCAAAATAGCACGAACAATCATAAATGATCGTCTATTCTCGATTATGCATTGTTAACGACTTGTTTTAGATCGCCTACCCTTCAACAAACCTGTTCGGGTACTCCTACTGGGGCTGATTAGTTGCGGGTTGTGTTTCCGGACACTAAAGACAAACCGTCTCTTTTTTTATTATGGATATACCATGAGTCTTTTATTTCATTTTTTTTATGAATGTCAACATTACCTTTCGAAAGGTAGAAACATTATGAACATTTCGGATATGATTTAAAGACATATCTATTTAGCACTTTGTAAGATCTCATGCACAATAATATTGTTTGCCCAGTACACCGTTTCCACTCCTTCTGTATTCTGTGCTGTATAGAGTGCATATTATAGAGACATGGAATTATGCCTACATGACGTGTTATGCGCTATACAAAAGCGTTTAAATATCATTAACCTAAAACTGCATCGATGATTCCGACTGGTCGGACAATTACACAGTCGGTCATAAACACAAGGAATATATTTTCACGGATGGTTAATTTTTACGGCCTGTTAACAAAGGTCCAGTAATAAAAACTTTTAGCCTATTAATATTATCATTGAATATAATAATGCGGATATAACAAGAATTAGACGTCAACTGTTACTTTCGGATGATTTGTTTTCTGTTTCCTCTTCATCATCTCCCCGAATGTTATTGTTGTCACCTTACTCTCTTTTCCCTTTCTTTTTATTGATTTCCACCTCCTGCTCTCTTTCTCTTCCCCTCTCTCCTTCTCTCTCTCTCTCCCATATCTTTATCTCCTGCTCTCTTTCTCTCTCCCATTCAATCACTCTCTTGATTTCTTGCTCTCTCTCTCTCTCTCTCTCTCCCACTCTCTCTCTCTCTCTCTCTCTCTTATCTTTCGGTCTCTCTTGGTCTCTCTCATTATGCGCCTACCCTTCCCTCTCTCCCCTTATCTATCAGTGTTTTCGACATGATATTAATTAATTCTCACCCTGGAGACTCGTTTGCTGATCGCTGGACCAATGATTCGCATCTTGGTTCTGGCTTGTTGAGGAGTTGACGATCCTCCTCCTCCTCCTCTTTCATTCTCGCCCACTGTGCTACCAAACTCCACCAACCTAGGCTGGATGCTCTCCACGTGAGGGGATGACATTTCCTCAGTTTTACTTTTTCATTATTTGAAGACAATTTAACTCGCTGTTAAAGGGTAAAGGAGGACATTTGTCACCTCCGTCACCCATCTGTATGTGCAAACAAATTACCACAAGTAATGATTGTTCCTAAGCAACGCATGCGCTTTTTATGTCTTCGCGCCATCATTGCGTAAAGATAAAATTCCATTGTCTCAGTACATGCGCAATATAATACTGCAGAAAATTTGACGCAACAATAGTCGCCTGTCACTTGACAGAAAAATCCCGACCCATCTTGAAAAAAACAGATTTTAGAAATCTATTTTTTTCATTTGAGTCGGTGACAGACTGGTGACAGACAGGCTACGAATAATCCGGATAACTAAAATCCGGATAACTAAAATCCGGATTTTTGATGGGCCATTGCGCATGTGCCGTTTAAGTAGATAAGCATTGTGACATGGTTAGAACATTCAGAAATCTGAATGCCTGGCCTAATATCAATAAACTGGGGAAAATTGGTTCATAAAACATGTATGGCTCACATTAAAACGTGGAATATTCTCAAACATCTATTACCCATCAGATGAAATAAAATGCCTGTAACACGGCAATTTTATTTGGTCGATAGACAGGATAAGGTCATAGTGCTTGACTGTTATAACATAAAAAGATAATCACAAAGTGGCCCTAAACCTTGTAATAATTAAAATATGGTTTTGGAATAGTATTGGAATTTCCCTTTTATACGGTAAAATGGAAAGCAATTATGAAAAGTGAAGGAAAATTATGTAGATTTGTTCATGACAATGATACTTCGGATACAGCTTGTTATTCCCTATTATGTTAAGAAACCAAAGAGGATCTGTTTCGTTCTTGAGTATATTTTAAATGATACAATTACAAAAAGCACGCGAGGCAGAGGAAAAGGGCTGGGGGCTGCAGCCCCTGAGAATGCTTAGTTCCCCGAACATCCTCATTTTCGACCAGCGATGTATTACTCTAATAATTTTGTAAACCTATTAACTTCATACCATAATAACACACACACACACACACACACACACACACACACACACACACACGCGCACACATACAAAACAAACATGCTACTGATTGTAGTTGTATCCACCTTTAAAACTTTAAGTTACAATAAAGACATGTGACAAAAAATATTACAACGCTTTTCTCCCTTTACTTATATATTTCGGAATTCCCCTCCCCATATAGAACCATTGATCCGACCATAATAAGCCCTGCAGGAGGTGATATTTATAAGGCATCTAATTCCATTAATTATGCTGCTCCTCTGTATGACTACAAATTATGTATAGTGCTTCCCTAGAAAATGAAATGCTCTATATTATGATTATTACTTCATGCTCTAATAATGTATTTTTAACTTGATCATGAGCATGGTAGCAGGCAGTTGTTCTGCTCTTTTGAAGGCGTAGGTATTTTACAATTCTCGTCAATATCAGGCTTCATCATTATAATGCATGCCTACATGGTGACATATCATATTTCAAAAACCTCTCCTTCCAATTAGGGGGTATTGTCATCATGGAACATGCTGAAATATGAATTACCCTAAATCCGAAAAAAAAAATTCGTTCGCGAGCCCCTTATCGCTGATCATAGTCTGCAGCCAGCAGAGCGAGAGAGACACACAGAGTGTTTCGGGAGGCAAGCCTAATGGGCACGAACGACTTTAAAAAAAAAATTGTTCATCAATAATGAATGGCTATTCTGTGGAAAATTAACAAGCCCTGGCATTAACGGTGCATCTATCATAATTCTTACCGGAAAAAGGTTGAATGCACTGTTCGATCTATGGCATTTGAGATTTCATTACGAGGGCAATAAACGTAACAATGCTATAGTCATTAGGACCGCTAACAATGTGCTCTAGAAGATACGTGTAATCGACGAACAACTGAATAAATTACGATCAGCAGTGAGCAACAAAAGAAACACTTTTTGTATAAAATGACTTTTTCCACAATGGCCTTTTGAATTTGTGTCAGCATGGGCTAGTCAATTATACATTCCAATCATTTTATCCATGGCAACATGTAAAACAGAGGACACATCGTGACCAATTTATCAACCGTGTTCTATTTTGACGCATATCCATGATTGCTATTTCTATTGAACGATTCTCTGATCAAGGCTGTCTGAAGAAGCGTTTTTGGTGCCCTGTTTTAAGCTTGAAGAAGACATCACCTTAAAATTCATTTATTTGTCTTCTAGAAGTATGCAATCGACACGATTGCAAAAACTTCTTAAAAATATATTTAACATGTGTGAAAATAACAATAAGATATTACGTAATCCGCAATTGATATAGGCAGTACTACGTTGTTGAAAATTCTCACAATAATAGGCCTAAAATAAAAACTTGTTGTATTGCCCTTTGGGTGCCAAAACATGGGTCGGTCGGTCGGAAAAGTTTTTTTTTTTTTAACTTTTTTTTTGTCGCTCTCTTTGGGCCGATATTTTCAGATTTGAATGTTTTTTTCTTTTTCCCGCCCTCTTTTAGCTGATATTTCTCAGTTTTTAATGCTTTAATACATGTGCTTCAGCGTCATGATATCCTTTTCACCTCATAATTATCCATGGTTTGCACTAGTGAGAATTTTGGAATAATTTGATTTTATGCATTTATATCCATTTAAACAAACAAAATAGATTTATTTTTATTCATTAATATAAAAAAAATATAAAAAACGGTTAAAAAAAAAAAAACTTTTTTAAAATGCCGACCGTAGATTTTCAGATTTTTGGGTCGGTCGCAAAGGGCACTTAGGCCTTATAGGCCTAAGTCGTTTTCTTGAAAACTTTACGACTATATTTGGGTGCAAGTCTTATTTCTAAGTTTTTGGTACCCAAACGTTGGAAGTTACTTGCCAAACCGACGACGCTTACTATCCGTCGTTTTTTGGGGGAGGGGTAGGGGCTGGGCGGGGGTGACAGGATTTGGATTCTAAACAACATACTTTTATATCTGAATATGGGGTCAAGTAAAAAATAATGTGTTGCAAAATTCTTTGTTATTGACACCAGGCATTTTTTTTTCTTAATTTATTTGTTTAGAGGATGGATTGTGTTTAAAGGGCCCATGACATCGAAATACAAGTGTATTCCTGTTGGAATACTCTTATTTCCACTCTTATTTTATGTTCAGTCCAGTATACATCTCATATTTTGATATGTAAACTTCTGAATTTGTTTCATAGATTTTAAAATGTTTTTTTGAAACATTTGTTTTTCAAACTTGCTAAGCTCCACCCCAAAACCTCCAGATCTCATTCCCCTTGTGACATTATCTGTCAGTCATCAATGAGCTAACTTGAGAAAGTGGTATGTATCTTTGCCGAAGTCAACCACCTGTTACCAAAGGCAATGATGATGTATTGTACATATGTATGGAAGCATGCAATTCTATTATAAACGAGTGCTGGGGAAAATTACATACCATTGTCTATTCTAGAATATTAGTTTAGTCTGACATGTCTGACATAGCAACTTATAAGTT